GTGGGTTTTTTTTTTTTTTTTTTTTTTTTTTTTTTTTTTTTTTTTTTTTTTTTAATGATTATGATATATATTGGTTTCTGGGTTTTTCAAAAATTGTTCTCGTTATCACTTTTTTCCTCGTTTCCTGTCATTTGCTTTTATTGTCGTTTTTTTCAGTCATTTAATTTGCCTTTTTCAAATCGTTTCCCTTTTATTTCTTAGTTTTCCTGTCGTTGTATTCTGAACATCTACGGATAAGTTATAATTTAGAGAAGCGATGCAGATCTCTAACATCTTTTACAAATTCTGACGAAAATATAACGAGATTCGGTAAAGTAAAAGGAAAAACATTTTATGTAATTATAATGTATACGATTATATAAAATGATACATATTTATATAGTTATTATTAATTGGATATATTTTCGCTTTTCTAATCAGTTATCAAACCAAACTTTCAGTTGTGCTTGCTTGCGCAGTCTGGTGGTAATTTTACACCTAAATGAATATAGAATAAGATATGGAATTCAAATCCCTCAGCCTTCATCCCTAAAGTTGAAAAATAAATTAATTAATAAAGCTTTCCTCGTGAAAGTTTGTCTCACAAATGAACGTTTAGTCTCTCATACTGGATTATTGAAAATCTTCAGAATTTAAGAAATCGATTATTTCACCAACTAAAGAGCAGTTCTGCTCTCTTTTTTCAGAACATGGTAATTGTATTTAATCCCCTTGATATGAGAAATCAGAGAGATCCAGAACACACAAACAACCACATAGAGAATATCAAAATCTAGAACTTCACGTTTTTGTGTGTGGCTATTTTGCAGATGTCAAAAATGAAAAAGAATGCACCTTAATTGTAAATGTATGAACACATCTAACAAACAAATTAATCAAACCTAATTATCAAGCAAGAAATGTGGCTTCTGCAAAATCTAGTTATAGCTTCCTTTGCCAACAACTCAGCAGCTTCCTGAGGGTCCTCCAAGTGTCTGATCAGATTCACAGCCTCTTGAGCCTCCATTACCTGCTCCGCCACGTTCAAACTGTTAATTGCTGATTTACTCTAGTGTTAATATCATAATATGAGCCCTGTATTCATAGTTTCATAATATATGTATATGTACGTTAATGGAGTTGCAGGGTAAAAACAAAAATAAAATCTCATTAATATTGATGAGGTTGGTTGGGTTGACTCACAATGAGTGGGTATCACTTGGTGGGTACCACATAATGTGAGACAATCTTATATTCAATTTTTTTATTATTATTTTTTTTTAATCTCATATCACAAGGAACTTAATTCGGACCATAGACCAGTTCAACAAGTAAATTCTAAGAAATACTGATGGGCCTCCTAGACTCCCACTACGTTTCACTTGTGCCAGGAGAAGGCTCAAGGTTAGTCGAGGCGAGGCGGCAGTAAAAGGTGCTACGGAGAATGGTGAGGTGGAGGCTGACATGGAAGGAGCTAGCAGCATGGGAGAAATAGTTGCTGCAGGAAATACGCAATAATCCACACTTCGAGAGATACCTCGGGAGTAAGGCGGGGAGTAAGAAAACGGTTAGCGAAGAGGAAAGGAATAAAAGGAAGAGGAAGAAGGCTGAGAGGGCATCGAAGTTAGAATTGAAATTGCTTAGACGAGCTATTGCTCTAGGGAGTGCAAGGGGTCACTCGAACACCCCCACATCTCTTGCATTCTGTTCATTTTCCTTCAGTAAAAGCTGTGTGAATTTTGCCTAAAAAACTACTTAATAGATCCAGTCTTATCAAATACACCATGGTTAAAACTGTATCTAGTTTCAACAACGGGAAATTAAAAGGGCACACTAACTATCGAACACACAAATTGTTCTTTCAACAACACTTTTATAATAGATGCAGAAGAATGATCGATGGAGATGAAGTAACCTATAGCACAAAGGTCACTCACAACAAATGTAAAGAAATAACTCAGGTGGATTAAGGAGACTACCTCCCTTATTATGGTCTTTCCAAGAAGACCATACTTCCATACTTCCAGTTATTACGGTTTTTCTAAGAAGATCATACTTTGACGTAATAGATAAGACAATAACATTATATAATAGTTATTTAACCTAATATTGACGCTATGAGAGTGTAACAATAGTTTATAATAACAAAATTTCTTAGTGTTACACATAACTATTATGTTTTCCTTTGAGAACCACAACAAACCCCTATATGTGTGTATACATAAAAATGTATTTTATTCTTTCTTATTTTTTGGGGTAGAAAAATGCATTTTATTTGTTACCTCCCATATGCCGGTACTTCCTAATATGAGAAATTCAGTGTCAGAGTCAACTCTCTCAGCCCCAACAAGAATTTCTGAGCCCCTGGACTGCATAGAGTTTGCTGTATTGCCCGCGTGACACGCCAACATGCGCACTGTTTTTAAACAACGCAAGAACTCATTCATTATTTGAATTGTTCCATTCACAAATATTGCACCAAAGAAATGGACCATTAAGCAATAACCCACGTTTAGCAGTGGCCTTTTTGAGTTTTGACCAAAAAGTAGCTATTTGTGTTTCAGAAGGGAGCCCTATACACTTGTATCAAATGTGATACCTTAGAGTTTAGACCAGACAAGTAAGTACTCTCTCTCTGTTTTTTATTTATTTATTTATTTATTTAAAGAAAACAAGGCAAAGTTGCAAAAAGAAAATTAAACTGCAATTGGTCTCTTAACAAATAAAAATTATTATATAGACTTGCGTGCTTTTTTTTATGTAACAATATATTGATGTCAGAGTCGACACTTGACATGTGATTTGATAATGTCATTAAGAATCATTTTCTTAGTAGTTAGAACTAAGCAAACAAACGGAAATGGAAGATCTTAAAGCAAACATAAGAGATGAGTCAATAATATATCATTTCCAAAGCTGACATGAGATTCATATCGAGTTGTAAGCATCAAATTTTTTGTTAGGATTATTATCACCTGGTGCTCGTTAATTTTAAAATCATTCTAACTTTATGGCTTTTATTAGAAATTATCACTTTACTCTCTAAATTTAAATTAGTCCCGCTTAATCCTCTTTATTAGAAATTCCATTAAAAATACTCAGAAAAATAGATTAAGGGAAGTCATACGATTTTTTTTTTTTT